ATCCTGCTCACGGGTAGATTGATCCTAATGACTTCATCGTCGGTCGTTGCTTTGATAGGGAAATTTGATGGGACAGTTATTCTGTTTACTGCTTACAAAAATACTAATGTAAAGTAGGCATTATTTTCAAAATCTTCAACCTTGCTAAGCTTACCACACCTTTCCAGCATTACTCTCAAGGTTGCTCTAAAAGCACTAATCAGCACAAAACGGAAAGTTAAGCTCAACTTCGTTCCGTTCAGGAATTTATCTCTTTTCGCTATCCCTAACAACTAACCGCGTGAAATAACCATCGAAATGCCGCTCCATTTTCTCCGCTCTTCCGTTGAGCGTTCGCAGTGCTCTTCCAACATAAACATCCAGGCCTTCGATGCTCGATGCTGCAGCGTCGACTCGCTGCTTCAACTTGGACAGCACCTAAAAAAACACTACTTGTTAGAAAAAGTGAAAGCTCGGAACCAACACTGCAATGACATGTACTAGGGGCTACCTTGAGCAAATCGGGGACTTTACTGTTAGCGTTGGTGTTGAAGATACTGGCCACCAGTAGAGGTTGTGGATACGCGGCTAACGAGCACAATACATTTGCCAGTTGCAAGTTGAAGGCTAGCGAATGGTCCGACATTTCTTCGAGTTGCGTCAACAAGCATTCGAGAAGAAGTGAGTTGTCTGAAATGTACTTTCTCCATAACTCGCTTTCTGAGGTCTCATTTCCGATCACCGGACAGCCGTCTACGTTTTGGACTCACCTGCTCCGCCTTCAATCGGCTGTCCATGTACTGGTACCACCGGTTCCCTTTCTTTCACAACAGCCTCCTTTGGTGGAACTTCCGCTTTCTCACTTTCCATCTCTCTCATGTATTGCAACTTTGAATCGATGAAGGCCATAGTTTCAGCTGACGACATCTTCTGCTTGCTAGGCACGGATCTTCGATCCAATAGGGATATGAAGGTGTCCAAGTCCTGTAACGAAATCCTGTTTACAAATTAACACCAAAATCCATTGAGCTGTCACTAGAAAGAGCATTTGGAGAACACTAAACACCTACCTCTACATCAGCCCAACCGCTGAGCACAAATGATCGCGCCATTTCCGCTTCAGTGTCAAATCCTTGCCCTGTGGCCGCTGATTCAGGCTCAGAGATGGAATCCTGTTTCTGGCATGGAATCTTCTTCCCGATTACTTGTAGGTCTTGATCCTGAAACATACACATCCTCATCAATGGGTGACTGATAATTAACAAATGGGGATACACCCGCAGAAATCGCTCCCTTGGACATACGCCTTCGATTTTCACATATTTGGCGCAGCACATGAATGTGATAATGACTTTCGAGAGCAAGCTGTCAGCAGTCTCATTTCGCGAGTAACTTCTGCACCGTATAATGGCAGGTTTCGCTAAGCCTGGGCGTGATTTAATCTACAGGACACGGAAATGGAAAAGAAGTCGAAGGGTACAACTCCGTTCCCCATAGAAACAGTTCTGGCTCATGCCCGAGTTGCTCAGATCGAATGTAAAAAAAGCGCAAGCCCTTCTCTAAACTTTTCCTCGATATTGACAATCCCTATCATTACGCTGAACAGCACTGGAAAAAGACCAGCGGGAGTACTCGAATATCGCGCGACATGGATCAAAATAACGGATTTACGGGTGTCCTTTGCAACCGACGCTGTGACGCTTTAGAGCTCCCAGATTGTGGTGAGGCCCACAATGCTCCATGGCAACGAATGTTGGTCCTTAAGGCAAGAACAATTTAGGGACAGCTTCATTCTGCTTAAACGAAAATAGTAAAATAGCAGAAGATTGAGGCTGCGGCTGCACGCGACTAAACAGTGAAAGAAATCAGAACTTTTGCGTACAATGAAGATGATCTCGCTCAACTGCAGGCAGCGATCGAAATGGTTAACAGGAGCTGAGAAAGCTCCGGATTGGATTCCATTAAAGCCACCAGTGAGGATTAGGCAACCAGCCAGAATGTTCTTCCCAGGTGCGATAGTGGGCTCCCCAAGCACTGAGGGCGCGACACTATCGCGACCCAAAAGTGCGCGGCAATGGCGCTAAGGCCTTGCCCGCCGCGCTGCCCGCGCTGCCAGCGTAATCCACCACGGCATACGTGGTCTCTGCGTCCTCTCGCGTACGACGTACTATCTCGCGTTCTCCCTCTCCTCGCAGCGCTGTGTCTCTCCGTCGTACTACGGCCGGCCTCCTAAGGGAAATTTAGTGTTTTCTATGGTGCTTTTTGCTTTTTCTCCTCACTAATGTTCCTCATTGCACCCCTTGCCTAATGTTGGAACAAAATAAAGCATCAATTGAATCCCGACTCGTGCCTTTAAGAAGGCAGCGGTTTTTGAAAGCCACCACATGCGTTCTTGAGTAGTAACAAACAGAAGAGGACAAAAGCCATCATAAAAGTCTACACCGAAAATGTGACGAGTAACAAGAGCAGCGAACCCAGTAATGACGCAGGACTGAAGCTAAGGAAAAAAAGAAGAAAAGACATGCACTTGCTCTTGCAGCCAGATCACCTGAGCATCACAAGAGCTCCTGTTCCAGTTAAACAGAAAAAGAAGCAGAAATGGAGAATAACACCCGAACGCAAAAGCATAATCATAAATATATCATACCTTACGCTCAGAACTAGTGGGCGATTCTTCACTTTCCGACAAGTCGTCACACAGCTGGAAGTAATCAACCATCGACGAGGACATGATCGATGAAGTGCTAAAAAACCAACTCATGACGAACTGAAGAGCAGGACAATTTACAGATTGCTGAACGAACTTAATTGGAGGTAGAATGAATTCAGAATCTTCTTCCACCGGACTAACACTGCCATCTAGAGAGTGTGAAGCGGATCCACCCAGTTCAGCAAGAAAACCTATAGTTATACAAGCAGCGTAAGTAGCCAAACGAAAAACAATTTCAATTTGCAAAAAAATATATGTACAAGGAAATTAATGTATTCATAGTAAATGAGATACACTGACCACCTCCCAACGTGGACTCCGACGTGAGATGGGCGTTTTTTGAGGCGAAATACCTGTTAAGGCCAAATGAAGCTGACGACATAGAAGATCTGCATGATGATAAACGGGTGAACGGCTAGAACGAAACAAGTGAGCAATAAGCTTCCTCTACAACTACATATTTACCACAGGCTATAGCCGAGCTTTCTGTGCTAAAAGAGGATTTCACAATAAGGTCGGAGGTCTAGAAAGGGGACATGTACCTAGTCAAAAGGTAAGCGAGCTCCTAAGGGTACGGGAAGATGCGCGTTCCGCAGCGAAAGGTGTGCCCCAGCGGCATGGCCGTGTCGTACCAGCGTCGCTCGCGCTACTTTATGCCCACCGAAGGGTAACCCCACACCGTCTCTCTAGTCGTTTAGCAGAAGGAGAGAGAGAGTTAGCGTTGATGAGGGCAGCACCGATGAGACTAGCGTCAATGCGGAAATCAGCCAGCAGAGAAGGTGCTCTTTTTTGGGTTTTAGACTGCTCTCCTGTTCACACAACTGAACATCACTCCCTGATTTCTAACGAGTTGCCTTTTCAACGTAAAGTCCGCCTTTGATGTGATGACATATGATGCTTCTTCCCATGCAGACCCTTGGAGTAACTCTTTGCATAACGAATAAAGAAAAAAGAATCTAAACATGAGATTTCGAGCAAGTAATGGATTGAGTGGATAGAGCCAAAGCCGAAAGTAGGAAACCCAACACTGAACCTCAGGTTAAATAATTCGAACGCCACCAAGGGAATGAAACAATTAATTGTGGCAAAGGCAAAGCAAACCCCTAATTGAAGAAGGGCCACACTGCAACTAGGGTTGGTTATGAGGTGAGGAAATCGCAGCCATTACGAACCATCCTCCCAACTGGAGCCAACAACCTATCCCACATTCCTTCGCAAAATCCCACCTTCGACGCAATCCTTATCCGACTTCCTCGAAGGATATTCAACGCAAGTCCTATGAGACTTCCTCAAAAGAGCCCTCCAGGAGAGATATACCATTGTCAAGACAGGAAATTTTAATTTCTGCAAAGATTTCCCGAATACACTGCGTCCCATAATTATAACTCCACCCAAGAATTTCCCAAAATCTCACAAATTTAGATGTTTTAGAAAAAGTCTCTAATGTGGCAGTGTGTCAAATACAAATACGAAATCCTTATAAGCATCATCTTCCAACTTGGGATCCCAGGAATTTTTTCTAATAATTTTTGTTCAAAAGGCCACTTGGCCAACGTCCCAAAATTATAACTCCACCTCATGTTTTTCTATTATTTTTCACTTCCGTTTCGCCAAACTTTTTTAATGTGCTAACATCCTACTTCTCAAGGGGACAGTATGATAGAAAATGCTGTCTGACTTTTTAAAAGGTCAGGTCGTCGCAAAAACTACTAATTAGGCAATCGCACAAGATTTTGACCAAATTTACGAGGAGCTCGAGAATTTTTTCAGGGATTTTACATGATATGGAGTTGAGAAGAGCTCCAAAGGATCTCCCCTTGCTTTTCGGTAGAAACAAAGGCCGTGTCACAGAAGAAACATCCTTTTTACGAAGCCGTGCTCCGCCATCAAATCTTCTTCGGACTAGCTAACTGGCCTAAGGTCACTGGATTTTTGCTTGCGAAATGGGTCCTCAGTTGTATCTCGGAAGTGGAAAACGTGGAGAGTCATCTGGGTAAAAACCCACGCCGGCGAAATTGACGCGCCAGAAAGATGCAACGGAGCCGACTGGAGTAAGGTTCGCTTTTGCTCGATATGTTTTAGCATTTGTTTGTTTTTCTTTTCGTGCTTTTCTCATCCTTAGTAGCTTTTCTCTTCGCGAAGCACTACCAGGAGAAAGAAAATGCCGAAGAGAAAGACAGACAATCAGTAATGAATCGCAAGTAAGAGCGAACCTTACTACAGTCGGCTCGGATGCACCTTTCCGGAAAACTCAGCAAGAATTCCGCCATGGTTTCTTACCACAGATGATGCCTTCCACGTTTTCCACTCGAGAATCAACTTGGGACTTATTCGCAAGCAAAAAACATTGTTCCGTTGAGCCATTAAGTTCCGAAGAAGATTTGATGGCAGAGCACGGCTTCATAAAAAAGGATGTTTCTTCTGTGACACGGCCTTTGTTTCTACCGAAAAGCAAGGGGAGATCCTTTGGAGCTCTTCTCAACTCCATATCATGTAAAATCCCTGAAAAAATTCTCGAGCTCCTCGTGAATTTGGTCAAAATCTTGTGCGATTGCCTAATTAGTAGTTTTTGCGACGACCTGACCTTTTAAAAAGTCAGACAGCATTTTCTATCATACTGTCCCCTTGAGAAGTAGGATGTTAGCACATTAAAAAAGTTTGGCGAAACGGAAGTGAAAATAATAGAAAAACATGAGGTGGAGTTATAATTTTGGGACGTTGGCCAAGTGGCCTTTTGAACAAAAATTATTAGAAAAAATTCCTGGGATCCTCAAGTTGGAAGATGATGCTTATAAGGGATTTCGTATTTGTATTTGACACACTGCCACATTAGAGACTTTTTCTAAAACATCTAAATTTGTGAGATTTTGGGAAATTCTTGGGTGGAGTTATAATTATGGGACGCAGTGTATGTGATATCCTTCCCAAAAATTCCTAACTTATGCCCTGTTACCATGTAACAAATACTGATGACTCCTAATAGTAATCCTAAGCTTTTTTTTTCACGAAGCAAGGCACGACTCTTCCTAGTAGTTGCGCGTGTTTGAGGACCTCATGACATTGGCTATTAGGGCTGCAAATATTCGCACCATTCTCATATGCTTACAAGGGGGGTCTTTCAGGACAAGCCGCGCTTTTTGGAAACGATTTCTTGCATATTGTAGGGGCGTATGTATGGACCAACGACCATGTTTCGGTTTCGCTGAAACGGTTTTAGTAGTATTAAAAAAGTTGGAACGATACCCTTGATGGTTCGATCCCACGCGGCGACTAAATTTTGCTATCAAGGTTGACGGCTATTTTTGGCTCCAGTATAAACCTAATCATGAATATTACATATGATTTCGAACATTTAGTACCATTCGGCAGCAACCCGTAAGCAAAAACCTAGACGCACCTAACCTTAGAATCTGCTACGACGGAACTGTTTAAGAAACGACAGCGAGGGATTAGAAAGCGATAATCAGAACAGAAATTAATCTAAAAGGTAGAAATAGGATACCGTAAGCAAATTCGGTTCTTCATCGCTGTCTCCCCGAAATAACACCGGGCTCGGAGTTACTCCATCATACCGCCATTTCCACACTGCACAAGAGCGAACACGCCGCTCAACTAGCTGCGCTCCCTCGTGCATGTACAACGCCAAGGTATCTTCCGAACAAATCTGAATACATAGAGGAATTCGAATAGGAGGAAAATTATGGGAAGCCATTGATCACGCCTCAATAGAATTTTCCATTAGAAATAGTATTATTTTAAAACTATTATGAATCTGCAGACCAAAAGAAGCAGCTTAGATTGCAAAAATGAAACTTGGTTCAGCTTCCAGGACGGAAAACCGGCAATTTCGTTACTTTCTTTCTCCCACTTCCTCCTTGAACATTTACCTCAGGGAAGCTCAGCATGCAGACTGGTACGCATTCCAGCAGTTTTTCAGCAGATGCCACGGCTTGAGCACGATCCCGCACTTTGCTGAGTTGAGCGCGTGTCATGTTCTGCATAGAGAGTAGACGTCGAAGAATCAGCACTGCAACTAACTTCCTTCAAATTCGGAATTCAGTTTTTAGAGAAATTTTGCTGCTGCAACTCAAGAATAAAGGCTGTCTAGTGTAGCCTACTGTTGCGTGCATCTGCCAACTCGAAGGCAAGTGCATGCACCAATGGGTACTTTAATAGATTGCCTGTCCATGAGTGTCAGCGCAATTCTTTGATCTTGTCCCCATCATAGCCCCAGCCGAGTTAGCCTACCACCAGAACAGCGAATGGTAGGTGCCGAAAGAAATGTTAGTAACGATCCGATGAATCCAGGGAACGATACTTCAGAAGATTATTACGAAGATCTCACCTAGCATAAGATCTTCACATCCAATTTGCAGAAGGGAATCCAAAAGCGACAGCGAAGCGACTCCCAGCTGAAAAATTTTGGATTTAAATTTTCTCCATGCTAGCATTAATATAATTCGAAGCTGATAAACCAAATGAGGCCCAACTAGGCGTCATCCGCCAGCTGG